TGAGCAATATTGTCAATGTCAAATAAAAGTTCCTATATTTCTGTGATTGATTTAAACATATTTTATTCACAAATGTGAAAGGGATTGGGGCCAAGTTATCCATACCCGCTCCCTAACATTTACATACATACAATTTCAATTATATACATCTTAGGAAAGAATACAGAGATGAGATAGGAAAGTAAAAGAGAGAAGACAGGAAGGGACACGACTTATGTGATCACTCAAAACGTTTTGATCGATGAATAAAAGTTTGCACACATTTGAAATTGCATTCTGTTGAATAGTCAGGTCAGGACTTCCAAGTAACATCAGTGACAATGTGATTGGAGAATCACGTTTTACAATATTTTTAATATTTAACATTAATATCTCTCTTTGAATGCTGTACAGTCTACATTCTAATAGGAAGTGATGTACATTTTCACAAGCATTGTCACAGTAACAAGAAGCAGAATCTTTCATGTTGAAACGATACAGATCATAATTTAACTGTCTAGACACATATATCTCAACTGTGTGTGAATAATATTAAATTTTCTAATACCAAACAAGTAATATGATGGAGTTACAGGTTGCTCATCCTTTAAATATGACTTGAATCTTTGTAATGAAGGTCGATTTCTTTCGGTTTCAGAAATATTATTCCATATTCTTACAGTTCATGGAAAAAGGAATCATACGAAAGTCTTAACCTTGCAGAAGGAAGGATAATATTGTTAGCATTCCTAAGGTTTAGTTAGATCTGGATCCCACACTATCTGGAGTAATATCTTTTAAGTATACAGGAGCTAAAAAAAATTGAATTTTATAAAATAGACAAAGTTTTCTTCTTTTCCTTCGTTCATCCAGTCTTTCCGACCCTGTCTCATAATATAGAATTTCCCGTGAGGTATATCTAGGAAGACCGGTAACTATTCTTGCAGCTTCTAACTGAACTTTCTCTAAGTTTTCCTTCTGTTGTACGGTACAACCATCCCATAATTCACAAGCATATTCAAAATGTGGTCTGATAAATATCTTATAAATATTGTTGATTTTATTTCTGTTTACTAAATATTTCAATTTTCGCATTGATGATATCATTTTGGAGCACGACTTGATAATTTGATCAGTGTGACAAGACCATTTGCCGTTTGCTTCAAATGTTATTCCGAGATGTGTATGATTGTTTACCAAATTAATTTGCTTTCCGTCAAAAACTAATTTCAATTCTTCAGTTTCATCAATCATAGAAAACAACACTGCTTCTGTTTTTGCAGGATTATATGAGACCAACTTGTTTTTCCTCCAGCTATGTAATATATCTAAATTAGCACTAAGAGAAGTTTCGATTTCTTTAGTACTTTTCGATGATTCTCCAAGCGAAGTGTCATCAGCAAAAAGTCTTGTTACACAATCTAATTTATTAGCAATATCGTTAACATAGACCACGAATAAAAAGGGTCCCAATACTGATCCCTGGGGGACGCCAGCTGTTAAATACCTGGGCTTGGATATAGCTCCATTAACAAAGACGTGTTGACTGCGATCACTTATATAACTTGAAATCCATTGTAAAAGCTGGCCTCTAATAGCGTACTTCTCTAATTTAAGTACAAGCCCTTAGTGCCACACACGATCAAAAGCTTTAGATACATCGCAAAATATCATACAATTTTGATCTTTGCTGTCTAGAGATGTACAAATATGATGGTAAAGTTCAATTAATTGATGGACAGTTGAATGACCTGCTTTAAACCCCGATTGGTACTTATATAAAAGTTTGTTAACATGGAAATATATAGTTATACAAGTATTAATATACAACTTTTTCAAATAGTTTTCCTATGCAACTGATAAGAGAAATAGGTCTATAATTGGAAACAATAGAGTGATCACCTTTCTTATACAGTGGCATGACATGTGCACTTTTCCACATATTTGGATACGCACTATGCTTTAATGATAAATTGAACAGTAAACACAGGGGGCTCAGATATAGAATCAACGGTGTTCTTTAATAATTTATGACCTATTCTATCCGGCCCTGAAGCTTTGTTTAGCTGCAAACATTTTATAACATCAGATATTTCCTTCTTAGAAATTACTATTTTTCTAACTGCGTGTTGGTCCTTGAGGGAAAATGTGATAATGGTACATCTTTATCATTCAATCGATTTATTGATTCGAAATATATGTATTACGTTTTCTGCTTTTTCTAAATAAGAAAACAGCGTTGGGAATTCACCATCAATATTCTACTTGAAAGGAAGAATATGCGAAGTAGAGCCCGAGTTTTTAACAATATAACGTAAATTTATGACGATTTATTTTCAGCATATAATTCCAAATGTAGGCCATTAATATTAGAAGAAAAGTTTTCTTTGGCATAAAATTTCATGTTGTTTACTCTATTTCTCTGATGTTTATAAGCTTTTTTTATCATTTTTTAGTTCCCATCGCCTTTCTTCGTAATCGGCCTCTTTTCGGGATTCTCTCCTCAAATTAGAGTCATACCATGGTTTGTCATTCGGACGAATAGTTACTATTTTTGAAGGAATACATGATTTCACATGTTGAGTAAATTTGGTATAAAATAGTGAACAAGCATCATTAACATCCAAACATCCATCATATAAATCTTTCCATTCTGTATTTTCTATAAGATAATTGAGCATTTTTCTGTACCCGTTCCCTTACAACTGCATGTTTACGACAGGTGTGAAGCTGATGGGTCAAGGTACTCTGCCACTCTAGCGAACACCATTCGTCATCACTGTTTAATTGTAACCAGTGATCAACAGCATGAGCATCGATCTACGCAATTGGGAACCGATGACATGTGTCAACCAAGTCAGCGAGCCTGACCACCCGATCCCGTTAGTCGCCTCTTACGACAAGCATGGTTTGCTGAAGATCAAGTCTAACCTGAACCTGCACGGATCTCTCGTGTGTGACAAAATCAATCTATCAACTAATTATATAAGTAATCAAAGTACGAAATGTTTTTGTTTTTTTTCTATGCTGAGACATTGATACGCATATTTTCAAACATTTCAACATTTTGCTGGAAAAAAACCCAAACTTTTTTAATGATAATTTAAATAAAGAAACATATCACACGGACACAGAAAGTTAAATAGATAATTTGTCCATTGTTAGATTTCATGATAGGCTTAAGTTTCTGTTGTCAATAATTTCCAGTTTCGCCTTCCGCGTCTTCCCACAATATTGCTGTGAGACAGCACGGGTTTTCACAAAGTGAAACATTCATCACAAGGGTGATAGTTATTATCCTACATATTGACGCTTTCGAGTCTTCTTTAATATATATGTGAAATGTATTGAAGCAATTACATTAAACTGCAAGTATAATTCAGGAAGCCGTGACCTGAGGTACTCAAATATTTATGTACAGGAAATGACACTCACAATCGTTCAATGTGTCAGAGTAAGAACCCGGTATTCGGGCTTTTACAGTGTTTCGCTTTAACCGGAGTTCAGAATGACATTCTTATATACAGCACAAGTGTAATTCACTTAACTCCACTGTCCCAAACTAATTGTTTATTGATCAGTCCGAAAGTTCACCTTGACATCATCACTGACTCCGCCAATCATCCAGTCTGTCAAAATGAACTGGTAACACGTCAATTACATGCGGTGACTTCATACATGGTACAGTAGATAATGAAGCATGCATACATCCTAATTAATACTCTAAGTAGTTTTGTAGATAATGTCAGGATGCATGTCATGTACATACTTCAATATACGGAATGAATTTCACGCTTAAGTCCAACACAATTGGCATTCTTATCCTTGTAGGCCCAGGCTGCCTGTGAGGCGCCAGAATGTTAATAATCATGACTTATCCCACCGGGTACCCATTCACTGCTGGATGAACAAAGGCTCGCATTCCTAAGGTTAGACCACATGTGTCACGTCTCCCTCGTCGTGGGACAGGACTGAAGTCATGGAAACTCTCAGGAGTCAAGCTGCCAAACACGGTTATCCACGCAAGGACTCTCCATGACCAATGGTGCTTAATTTCAACTGATTTTGGACCTGGGCTTTATGCACAAAACCACCCACCACCACATCTACAACCTACACAACTGACGGTGTATCAAGCAACGCCATTGTGATAACGGGAAATTGTTCACATCAGTGATAAACCAAACTAAAAGTCACATTCATTACCACTTGCCACATTTTCCGTATCCTCTAAGAAGACATCGCTATTCCGCTTGTCCCGGAATCACACGAGTTGATCACGAATGTAAAAGTCATTGAGTTCTTCACCTTTTCACAACAAAGAATGAACTGACATTTCCTGGGTGGTGTTGACCGTGTCCAACCTCTGGTCTGACTTTTCATCCATTGTCCAATGATAGCAATTAAGCGATCCAAAAAGAAGCCGCGACTGATCCAGTGTGTCACAGTCAAAAACTTAACCATCAACGACATTTGGCCGCCCTCTGCGCTCAGGATTAAGTGATAAAAATAAGCGATCCCAAAATAATCTTCTGGCATCCTCCTCGTCTCCCCAGGGGATAAAGGGATGCATTCTGACCAGGGCGTACACTGACTGAGTCAGGTGGGCCACCTGAACCTCCTCCAGCAGCACCAGGATGATGGGATTCCTCTCCCCTTCCAGGTGTCTCTGGACAAACATCAGCTCGAACTGACACTGTTCATCTCGGGCCATGGCGTTAGACAGAAGAATCAGGATGGTTTTACTTACATTCAGATTATTAACAACATTATCGACGATAGGGAGACCAGCCAAAGAGTCTCGGTCACGAATGTACAGTTTGGATCCATGAGTTTCCTCGGCTTTTGGAATGAGTTCGTTCTTTATCCATCTGATGTCCTCCAAACTATATATTACATAAGCATCATATATAATATCTACGTTGTCAAGTCGCTGGAATTCCCCCCTCTGGTATCTTCTCTGGTACATATAATGCCGAATGTGCCATCGATACCTGTATGCAACAGACCCCGAGATGAGGACAAAGAAGCATATCCCACACACACCAATTAGGACAAATATAGCAGGGAAAGGGAGGAGGCAAGACTGTTTAGGCATATTTACTTTGGAGAGTACTCTGCCTCTCATTTCCCCAGGACTGGAACACACGTACCTCTCCGGATAGTATTTGAACTTCTTACGATCCGACTTTATCCAGTTCAGGAACCAGAGGAGTTCACAGTTACATGCAAAAGGGTTGTACATAAAATCAGCAATCTCAAGCTTTTGTTGGACTTCGGAGGTGAAGACGCGTTCATCTATTCTGGCTAATCGGTTACTCGCTACCCAGATATGGGTAAGATTCTTCAAAGGTGTCAGGCTACCAACGGGAAACTCGTCAATGCTATTCCGATACAGTTTCATGTATTGCAAGTTGTGCAAGGAAACTGAAATAAAGTTTGGAAACGATAACAATCCACAGCTCCCAAGACCAATTCCTGTTAATGATTTTAAGTGTCCAAACCAGTCAGTTAGGTCCTGGTCGGATGTATGTGAGAGTTTATTATAAGAAACATCAACTGACTGTAGATTGGAGCATCCTTTGAATGCGTCTTTGTGCACATGAGTCGTGAAGTTTATACCACTTGATTCCAAAGATATGTATTCTATTTTACTGTTGTTGAAAGCATACTGGTCTATATAAAGGGAGCCACCTCCTACATTCTTGAGGATTACGTTAGTTAGCGAGGGCATTTCCGAGAATGAATTTGACTTTATCTCCGGAATCTGAACATTGCTGTTAATAGTGAAAACTGACAAATTCTTTAAGCACTGAATGTAACGACCCTCAATTGGCGTGTATAAGTGATTATGATCCAACTTCAGAGATTTAAGGCTCGGGAAATAGGACCCATTCGTCCTACAAAAATTAGGAAACCTGGAAATATAGTTGTCTTTCAGAGTCAAGGAGAGTAACGATGGGGCGTACGCCAGAGTTACTTCACGGATAAAGTTATAATCCAGTGATACATTTTGGATGTTGAAGAGGCCGCTACAGTCAGCCTGGTTATAACTTTCAAACTCGTTTCTGTCTAGGTCCAGATACTTCATTGTACGGCTGTATAACCGCTGAAAGATGCGTGAATCATTCAACTTTAGTCTACATAGTGATAATTTTGCAAGAGGAAGACGGCTCAAAGTTGGGAATGTTTCTGCTAAACACCTTTCTGAGAAATTGTTTCCATCAAGACTCAACTCTGTTAATGTAGTTAGATGAATAAATGAGTCGGCGGACATTCTTGTTATCGTGTTTGATGTCAGACTTAACCTTTTCAACTTGAATGATTGAATGTTTCTGAACGTTTCTGAGGAAATGTTTGGAAGAAAGTTGCTAGAGAAATCCAAGTCAGTTATGAACTGTGGTAGCCTTGGAATATATGTAAGTTTCCTTCCGTGACCTTTGCATGTTGCTTGTTTGGTGATATTGTTACAGCTGCACCAGCTGTTGCCACAGTTACCGCGGCGTGCTGTAGATGTCAGCGTCACCAGCAGAAGGACGAGGAGAAGTTGGCAGAGGGATGACATTCCCATATGGCTTCTGAAATACAGAAAAATAAACTATCGAACAAGACGTTTTTGAAATATGAACGTCAGGGAATACGTTGTGATACGGGTGCAGGTGTTTACCAAGATCACTGAGTTGCTGGATGGGCTGTTCTGTGCAGTATTCAAGAATCACGGTGGGCCATATTACAGTGGAAGGGAAGCCCGAAATAATGTAGATATTAGACGTTTAACACTTGGGCCCAAGTCAGATAGGGTTCAGGCAAATTCACGAAATTAATAATGTGCTGTGCTATTCATTGTTAGTGCTATGAGTATACCTGGTGTGGAGTGTGGCGCTATATAAATGGACCCATTATTAGTTTTACACTTATTTTGTACAAAGTGTTCATAGACTAAAGCATTGGCGGAGGTGGGGTGGGTATGTGTGTGTTCTGGGGGTCTGAACATCCCCCCCTCCCCCTCCTCTTTGATAATTGAAAATGTCACTGAAGTAAATGTTTTGCATTGGCGGAGCCGGAAGGAGGAGGGGAGGGGTCGGTTTAAGGACTTAAGAAATGTCCAAGTGACTCTCATCTGCTCAACCCTTTCCATGCATTGCCACAACGTGTTAGGCATGACCAGGTAATCTGCACCAACGATGTGGACATAACTGAGTCGGTAAGCTCGCACGGAAACGTTCCGAAGGTCACGCGTTCCAAAGGGCGGATCAGCACACAAACAAAAAAGTTTCTTGCCCCAGTGACCTCACTAGAAGTTGTGTTTTTAAAACACCGAGCTGCTCTTCAGCATGACGTGGGATTTACAAGATCGGGTGTTCTGAACATCAATGGTTCGCTGACTTGGTTAATTCATCTCAAGGTATGCGCAGATGCATGCTTACGAGAACTGACAGTTATGAGACTCAATGATTCACAAACCGCCGTCGCCATTAACTGATATGCATTTGTCGATAAATGTTTCCGTCAGTCACAATAACATGGGACTACAGTAGACAGTCAACAATGACAAGTGGTTGTGAAATAGCAGAATACATCAAAGTAATATATTATGAGTCACATTCGTGAAGAGGACCTGAGTGGTCCTGGCAAGACCTGTAATACATGTATGAATGTGTTATAAGCTCGTTGTACGGCACGTGTGTGTGCGTGTGTGCGTGTGTGCGTGTGTATTAAGGTCAGCAGATGCAAAGTAAGTGGTAGGTTGGTGCTGTTGTGGTCAGCTGCGAAGGTAAAAGAAAGGTAGGTTGACACATGAGCAGGTGGGTGTGAGATCGTGTTGTGAAAACCTTTCCTTTGTGTTGTTTTGTACAACAGCACCCAGGACACTTAGATATCCTCTTACAGCGTGCAATCTAATATCTAATAGTGAGTGAGTATAGTTTTACGCCACTTTTAGCAATAATCCAGCAATTTCATGGTGGGGACACCAGAAATGGTCTTCACACATTGTACCCATGTGGGGAATCGAACCCGGGTGTCCGGCGAGACGCTCGAACGCTTTAACAACTAGGCTACCTCACCGCCCAACAGGATTCAAGCTTAGTTTCCGTGATTTAACTGGTATTTGTCGCAATGGGGTGATTTCTGTAGACTGGATGTGTCAGCACATTGTGAAATGTGTGTTCAAGTAAATTGTATTTACGTGACGTTGTTCATGTCAAATGTGGTGACACGGACACCCAGCGTTCAGTCACCAAACATTTCTCTCTATGAATTTAACGTCACAACTCTGAAATGATTTATAACAAAATATATAATTCACTCCAGAAGAGAGAAATCAGAATATGAACAGCAATTGCCAAACTCACATTTTCCACGTCATGTCTCTTTCATGTGTCATCCACTGCTTATCTACAAACGACAGCAATTCACAGATTCCACTCGCAGTATACTATACCCTTGACTAATTCTGGGAAACATTGAGGGTGCACGTAACAGGATGACTCATGGTGTCATTATCGAGATGAACATTTGTGACAGGCTGAGTAACTGGGAAGTTGCGATAGAAACCCCGCGATAGTTGGGTCAACACTGGGATTCCCTGGCCGGGACGTGAATGTCGCCATCTGGTGTCACGCGCTCACATTAGAAAAATTCCCTTTGAGTTATTGAGCGTTTCCCGTGATATAATTACAGTTAAGTCGATGTTATTATTTACCTTACAGAATTCACACTCACTACATACGAAGGTATCTGTTTACACCTGCATTTAATCACCTCTTAGTTCCTCTTGCAGCGCATGTTATCCGAGCACAGTCCACAGTCTCGCACATGTACATCCCGCAGCTTGCTGCTGAACTAGCCTTCACTTGTGATTGTTCACATCTTCGCCATTTTGTTTAGTACCACCACTCACTTCACAGGGGACAAATATTTCAGTGTCAAAACAACTCAGGATATTTTTATACTGTAAATTATCATTTAATAATTGTTTTTTTAAAGAAATAGAATAATCAGGAAACTTTTGAATAATGTGTTTTGTAAATAGATCAATGGTATATTAAAATTGGTACAATAAATTAGTAACTGAAATTGTTAGTGGCTGTATCCTCAAAGGGATTAAGCTATTGTAAAATTATTGTCCCCTTGAGTGGGTACGTAAATCCCAAAACATTAAAAGTACATATTGATCTGTCAACCTTTTTATAGTATTAATGTCATTTTAGGGTCCATGCAGGTAGCAAAGGTACTGTACGTCCTTATGGACCCAAGTATGGTGATCTCAGTTGTTGGCGATGTTTTTGTGTTATGTATTGTCCAAATAGTGCTATTATTCTGAACTTAACATGCTAGTTTTAATTCCAACTGTGATAGTTTAGTTCTTTTACTGTCCTTAAACGACAAGTTAATATACACGTATTCCATTTCAACGTCAAATATGTTTTCGTCATGAAATACTGCCGATGTGACGTTAAATATTTGTTCACCCACTCACTCCACATACTCAAATACGTACACCAACAACAGTTTGAATCTTAAATTTTCTTACACCTCCTAAACATCAAAATCACAATGTCCTCACACAATACTTCTTCACAGTTTGCATGTATTATGAACACTATCCGTGCTACCAAATAGACATTTTTGTGATCGCGGCTAAGGAACACCTTGGCCGAACACCTTGGTTTGACAAAAATGTGAAGCCCATTTCTAGTGTCCCCCGCCGTGATATTGCTGGAATATTGGTAACAGCTCCTCACTCACTCACTCTTGATGAAAATAGATAAATTGAACCTGAAACAGAAAGGGTCAACTGCAGCAGCCTGCCATGCGAACATGTCAAACTGAGTGGATGAAGGGCACACCTTTGTCACTATCAGATGAGCAGCTGGTTCAAGTCGAAAAATGTGTACTGAAGTTTTTTGCAATTGTTTTTGAATATGCCACTGACTTCAGTACTCTTTAAAGTGTGTTTATATTTGACCTATGTGTTAATCTGTTCCGTTTGTTCTTATATAGGTAAACCGCTTATTATACTGGGACTGCCATGTAACTTAAACATATCAACCGACATCGGCCTGTTTGATATTGTATAAAACCGAGAACACTGACTTACCGTGGTAATTCGCAACAGAGAGTGAGGAGATACACTTTGTTCTGATATTACCGTTACCAGAGGCTATTGAAGTTTTTTTTGTGTACACCGATTTCATCGGCGCACTGCATTAAATAGCTAACTGGTTAGGCTTATAGGTAGTGATGTGAAACTTTCAGAATCACAGACATACACTGTCCCCTCCCTACATGGAGATATGTCTTGAACAATTCCTGGTCTTCTTGCAGCTTGAGATGGAATGTGAGGTTGAGAGGCTGGAGTTAGCGCCCCTTATGTATCAAGGGAAACGACTCCAAAAGATACTCAATCTCCCTGATCGTATTGGTAGAAGGTCCATATGGCTGTAGGACATTGCAGTACCTTCCATGGCCGTGTCTAAATGTCACAGAAGTCTAAATGTAATGCCTCCTACTGAATGTAAAGAGAAAAAATATTATGCACTTGGTACATTATTACACAATAACTAACTCCGCCATGTAACAATCATTATTTGCCACTGGAAAAGCCACAGGTTTACAGTACATTCAGTACATTGTAGATTCAATGCATACAATTAATACAATATACATGAAAATGCAATCACTGATATATAGTTGATATATATCTTAGTATCAGAGTACCCATGAAGATCCGGGTTAGAATTGATCTTCAGGAACCCATGCTTGTCGTAAGAGGCGACTAACGGGATCGGATCGTCAGGTTCGCTGACTCGGTGGACAGATATCATCGTATCCCAAGTGCATAGATCGATGTTCGTGCTGTTGATCCCTGGATTGTCTGGTCCAGATCCGATTATAAAAATATTTAAGAATAAAAATAGATTTTTGAAATAATCATATTGGCATGACATTTGGAGTCGACAAATGTAATACGCTTCATTTGAAACGTGGCAAAGTAACTAAAGATGGATCGGTCAAGTTACGAGGGGGAGGAGTTATTGAGCATCTTGTGGAAGATCAGGCCTACACCTATCTTGGAATATAAGTTCAAGACAAGCTCCAGAATGCCCAGATTCCAGACGTACCTCGGGCCGAGTATAAAATCTCGCTTAAAGAAAATTTGGAGTTCAGAGCTGAATTCTCGAAACAAGGTCAAAGCCACCAATACTTTGGCTGTGCCAGTCCTTTCCTATTCCTTTGGAGTAGTTGATTGGAAAAAACAAGACATCCAGAGTCTTGACTAGAAGGATCATGTCTGATAACAGAGCCCACACCCTCGTTCTTCTCTTAACCGTTTATACATGCCAATCAATTCTGGAGGTCGGGGTTTGATTAATGTGGAGGCTCTTCATGATAGAATTTTATTGTGTACTTTTGCACATATTTATTTATCGGACGATCATCTGGAGATACATGTGAAGACACATGATGAAAGCAAGGAATTTCACAGCTATTTTAAGCGTGCCACAGTTGTTTCACACAATCTTTAGTTTGATGTTCATGTTGTTGATGGCGACGTACTGCTGGACGG